GTGTGCCACCACACCAGGCTTATTTACTTATTATTCTGAGGCAGTATCTCCCTAAGGTACCCAGACTGGCCTTGAACGCTGTTTGTGGTCCAAGACAGGTCATGAACTTGTGATACGAATACTTCAACCGCCAGTCAATGTTCAGTGGATTCAGGAATTGCACTGCTGAGGAAAGGAATAGACTCTTTGAGTAGAAAGGAACGTCAAATTAAGACGTTATCATATCCAGTCTTACGTTTTCCTACTAATTTTGTCAGCTCTCTGTCAGCCTTGACATCTGGAGTCAAGATAACTAGGTAGCCTCAGCTGTTCCTTCTGTGTTTTGCACTAACATGGAAGAGAAAAGAGAAAGCACAGATAAGGAGCCTCCTTTCTGTGAGGAGCTGCTGTGGGTCCCCAGTGAGACTAGCAGTGCCCTCAAACCAAACAGCTTCATTAGTGAGCCTTTGTGTTGGCCCAGCGTGTGGACTGCAGTCTAGCTTCTGAAGAGTGTCTCTGGTGGAGGTCAAGAAAGGCTAAGAGGCAAGCAGGTGAAGACACAGAAAAGTGGTCCAGTGTGGAGAGGAAGCCTAGGACAGACACAGTTGTGCCCTCCTGTCTCCTTCAGTCGTGCTTGACTTTAGCAGGGGCAGGGTGTTTCCCTCATGTGCTTGAGACCATAGCTTTGACCCTCAGCAATAAAAACGAAACATAATTACAGGGGCGATTCACAATCATTTGCGGTTTCTGAGGCTCTGGTGGTGGCCTGTGGGGTCCATAGGTGTCTGCTAACTCTGCCTTTGGTCTCCCTCCCCAGAAACACATGCTGAAAGAGGGAAAAGGTCGGATGCTGCAGGCCATCAGTCCCAGGCAGAGTCCCAGCAGCAGCCCTACTCACGAACGCTCCCCCTCCCCCTCCTTCCGATGGCCCTTCTCTGGCAAGACCTCCCCATCTTCCTCCCCAGCAAGTCTCTCTAGGCGCAAGGCTGTGACATGTGACATCAGCGAGGATGAAGAGGACTAACTTTTCATCCCTGTGCCCTCTCCCTTCCCCTGCCCATCACCTCCAGAAGCTCTCTGTCGAATTCCATTTTGTGATCCCAACACTAAACCTAAGGACATCTACATAGAAAAGACAAATGGGCAAGAGGACCTGGGAATGGGGGACAAAACAGCCTGTGCCCCAGCCCTCGTCAGCCACACTGAGAAGGCTGAGCACACCGTAGAAGCCTGCCATGCATCCTTCCTCCCTCCCCAGAACTTCGCTTTGCTGTTCATGCTCATGTAATCTTGACAGGGAAATTGACATTTTTATTAATTTTTTAAAAATTAGTCTTTCAAATATAGTAAGTAGAGCTAATTTTTTGCCCCTGAGGAGTGGGCAGAAGAAGGAAGTGTGTAATACCCAGAGGCCTTTCTTCCTGATACACTAGTGCTTGCCTTCCGTTCTGGAGCAAAGTGACTCGCCAGGTCCTTCCAACAGAGAGCCATGCTGATGGGTCATTTGGCGATACTATTGCAATGTCCACTTCCCTTATATATCTAAAACCTGAATTAGCTCCCAACCCCCGCTTGTCCTGCCGGCCCATGTGTCAGCATGGCTGTGGGAAGGAAGAGATCTGAGCCTCACTTCTCTCGTTCCCTGAGGAGTTTCTTGTTGGACCCCATGGGGTCCATGCAGACACTGATGGGGATGCAATCAAACCAGAGAGCATCAGTTGCAGTTTTTCTGCTGCATTCATCTCAGAAAATTCTGTTACCCAACTATTTGGGAGCTCTTGTCAATCTCTTTCCTGCAGCCTACATGTAAAGGAAGGAGCCCTGAGGGATGCTGGGACTGCAGAGGAGAGTAGGATGACCGCGGTCTAGTGAAGGGCAGTTGTGGTTGAGTTTCTGTTGGGAATACATCCCTCGCCCTGCAGCTGCCAGTTCAGCACCATGCCTGGCTTTACACAAAGGATGCTTTGTAAATGTTTCAGCTTGAACTTGGCCCGTTGATCCCTGTTACTTATGCCATATTTAACACTGAGTTTTCACAGGTTGTACAGAAAAAGCACTTTGGTCTCTGAAACACTTGTCAGGCTCTGTTCCTCCTAAGAATGCTCTTGGGTTGAATCAGTGTCCCATGGAGACTCTGCCTCCTAAGAGCCGCTCTTGGCAGGGACTTCCTCCACTGCCCCCTCTTAACTACTAGTACACAGAGGTCCGTGCCCCTAGCCCACCCGTGCTGGTGCTTATGCCTCCACTGCACTCATTGGTTTCCAGGGGAAACAAGATTCTCAGCACTTGCTATGGAGTGTGAGCTGATGTTTTCAGTCGGCACTACATGGCCCGGCAAGTTCATCACTGTCAGTCATCCCGTAGCTGGATTTAGGGCAAATTGTTTATTCTAAGACCTGCTTGTCGTTACTCATAAATACCCCTTGTAGGGGTGGAACTTTAGTGTTTTCAGCAAAGAAAACCACATTTTCTTTTTCCTTGTACCTCTGCTGGGACTGTGAGCACTTCACAGTCCTCCCTAGATACTCTCCGGTGGAAGCTGTGCTAAGCCTCAGGGTCTGAGGCTAGCACCACATGATGCCTACTTGACAGGACTCCCTAGGCTCCTAAACTGTCTTCCAGGCAGGCCGAGCAGAGGAGAGGGCTGTAGAGCCACATCTTGGTGTCTCAGTGGCCTGTGGGAACGCCATTCCTAACTCCTGGTGAAGTGCTGTTTCCACTCAGATCTGATTCCTATGGCCTTGGCCTGGAACCCTTTCTCGAACCTGTTGAAATTAGTGTTTTCCATGTCATGTAGCGCTGCACAGCTCCCTTTACCCTTCCTACTCTGGTCTTCTCTTGGGTGATCCATGTTTCTCTCTGCCTTATTCTCCCAGGTACACACAGGCGGTGACGTCAGTACCTACTCGCCTGCTTGTTCTCTCAGTGCATATCCAATCTAGCGCTGTGGAAACAGAGAGGGTCTCAAACCTCAGAGCCTCTGGGCTGAGAAGATGTGTACCATAGCTAGGACTAGCCTACACTCGTGTCCTCGGAGTATCCCTCACCCTTTCCTGTCTTCTAACACTCATATCCTCAGATAACTTAGACATGAAGCAGAGACGCTGAGGTATGGCAGCATGCTAGGTACCTGAGGGTCAGTGTCCTCCTAGGTGCTAGAAAAAGGTGCTGTTGGGATGCTGAGCTGCCGGCCACCTGTATCCAGTTAAATGTGGCCAAGCGTTTGGATGTGGTGTCTGGCCAATCCGTTCCTCTTCCTGTGCAGCCTCAGCTGAGGAGCCTTTCCCTGAGGCCACATATGAAAGCAGGCAGCTTGGAAGGGTGGGAGAGCCGTAAGTTGTTGGGCCTCGCAGCCTCTATGCCATAGGGAGTGGCTGCAGACCGGAGTCTATCGGTGCTGGGAAGTATAGCAGTTAGCCTGGATGTGGGAAGTATAGCAGTTAGCCTGGATGTGAGCTGGGCAGGAACGTTGCTCTTTTCATATACCAGGCTGGAGACTGGAGAATAGAGGATGCCACAGAGAGAAAGCAGAAATAGATTGCTAGTGCCCGTAGTAGCTGCTCCTGAGAGCTAAGCCAAAGACCCTCTGTAGACCTGAGGGGACTGGGAGTGTGCAAAGGCTGAAAATCCTGAGCAGAGAGACGGAGAGCCCTTTTCAGGTCCCCCTCTCAACAGTACCACAGTTGTTCTCACTTGTGGTCGCACATCTGGCCAGTCATCTGGGAAAATCCTCCACGGTGGCTCGTTCCAGTGCTTTGTCACTCATGCAGTTCACATCCCGGAGCCTGTCATCTTTGAGATCTGTTCCTTATCAACTTTCAGTCCTTTCTCGGATCAGTTCTGTTTCCCTGCTTGGTTTGATCCCCTAAAGCCTTAGCTTCTAGATTTCTGTCAGCATACATGTGCCGAAATTGAACCCACACAGGGTTCAAAAGAAGCTTCCCTAGCAATGTTTTAAAAACTAATGGTATTTTTTTAAGCTTATCAATATAAGTATTTTTAAAGGTTGTATTTTTCAAAGTCATAACAATGATTATTTTATCTCACAAAATAGATTATCATGGGATAAAGAATGGTCCCTAGCTTCTATTTTCAGAATAAATAAGTACAACGTGTTCTTGGACTCTAATATTATTAAAGGTTAATTCTCCTGAGAGAAAAAGAAAAAATAGTCTGTCTTCCAGAATGTTTGGTTGGTCCGAGATTGGGGTAGAGAACGGGAATGGCAGGATTAACATTCGGGTGGCCCAGCTCGGGTTCTGCTAGGTTTGAAGTGGGCACCTCCCACCGTCTTGGGGGAACTGTTTTAAACAGTGAGAACTGACTGCTTAGGTGGTTTGCATCTAGACTCCTGAGCAGGAAACACTGTTGGAAAGACTCACCCGTGCCATGAACACCCGCCCATCACTGTGGGAGTCAAGGGGAGTTTGCCTCAGTTCAATGTATCGCTTTCCTGTCTAATTTGTTCAGAGTTTGGCTTTTGTCATTTAGCCAAATAAAGGCCATGTGGTTTTGCCTGGTGTTTCTATTTCCTGTAGTTTTGGCCAGGCATATGTGTGTTGATATCTTTTTATTTTCTTTTTCTTTTTGGTTTTTCGAAACAGGACTTCTCTGTAGCTTTGGTGCCTGCCCTGGAACTAGCTCTTATAGACCAGGCTGGCCTCGAACTCAGAGAGCCTCCCTAATGCTGGGATTAAAGGTGGATGCCACCACCTCCCGACTTTGGGAGGAATCTTTTACGTGCATTCTCAGTTCCTTTGAGTTTGTGTCCCGATCTCTGCCCTCAAGTTCAAGCTTCATGGCGATATGAATGACAGTTCCATTTGTAGCTTCTTACAGAAAACTTCAAAAGCTGGCACCATGGGGCCTCAGCCCTCCCATGTCCAGCTGATGCCCCCAAGGAAAGCACGGCTTGTACTGCAGAGCCGGCTTCTTCGGGAGGCTGGCCTGGTGCTGCTCTGCCCAGCTAAGGTATACTCCCACTGATAAACCATACATAGACCACGTACTCTTCTCCCCTTTATTCTGCTGTGCAAACGCTCAGGGTGACCAATCGTGGCGGCCACAGAAGCAGTGTGCCCTCTGCAGAGTCTCAGCCATACCCTGTTTGTTTCAAAACTTTAAATGTCTTCCCTGAGCAAAGCTCCAGTCCAGCACCTTCCCCTCATCCCTATAGTCACATGGAATCTGCCAGCCTGCGCTGCCAGCGGGAGCCTGAACCGCTGGTTCAGGTTGAGGGACAGAAGGACTCTCATGCACTCCTGAGAAGGACAGTATCTTTTCCATAGTCCCAGCCACTTGCCTCAGGCTTTGAGTTTCAAGTCTGGGTCTGGTGCCGAAGAAGTCTCATACCCAACCTTGCCGTCTTTCCTTCGGTAGTACATCCGTGCCAGCACCGTCATCAGGAAGGTCTCCACGACGAGCATGTGGCAGTTCATCACTGCAGTGTGGAGCAGAACGTGACAGAGGTTACACTGCGGTCCTGGCGAGCAAGCTGAGAGGCTTCAGCTTACCTCTGAACCAGGACCTAGGGATACCAAACTGCTGTGCGGAGCAAGGCAGATTAATGGTATCCAGAACTCAGCTTTGAAATCTGTGATCTGAGTCTGCTTCCTAACTGTACCCATTCCTGTCCCAAGGTGAGGGCTGAACCCCACACCTCCTGGTTTGGCCATTAGGACTGGCCACAAGCTGGCGACATTGCAGTTCTCTGATGAGAGAGGGAAGGGGCCTCAGAGTCTCTGCCTGATTTCTTGGATTCTTCCTGTACATTCTGAGCAGACACCAGGCTTGTACAATTTCTGTCCCAAGGGCCTCTCTCTCTTCCTCTGTCCCCAGGCTCACCCGCAACACAGGAAGGAGTCCCACGCACTTACCTTGAGACCTGGTTTTAGAAGGAAAGGGAGGTGAACAAGCAATCTGCCCGGTGCTAGCTAAGATGGAGAAAATGGAGGGCTGCAGGGCCGTCAGGATGACAAGAACCTGTGGGAGAGGAGAGGCAGGTGTGGGGAGTGGTGGCACTTGCCAGCCCTGGTCCTGAGGCCAGTGCAGCTTAGGTATACCCTAGCCTCTGCAGTTATGGAGGCTAAAGTTTAGAACTATTAAAAATTGATGCAGATTTCACCTTTGGGCCAATTATAATCCTGCTTCCGCCTCATTCAGTAGGGTCGCTCATAAACAAATTCAGCCTCTCTCTCCCGTGCCACCCAGTGGCATCCAGCACATAAAATGCAGACAGACAGGTGGACAAGGTCATGTGATGATGGAGGCAGAGGTTGGAGTGAGACAGCAGAAGGCCAGGCAAGGACCACCATGGATTGCTGGCCAATTCCAGAGAGGAAGTGGCAAGCCGGGTACTTCCAGGTTCCAGAGAGATCACGGCCCTGCCTACATTTTGATTTGGGGTTTCCAGGCTCTAGATCTGTGCTACAATCCGTTTCTGTTGTTTTAATCCTGGTTGGTGGTATTCTGTGGTACAGCAAGGCAAATAAAATAAAAGATGCAATGGAAGAGGAAGATGATGTTCCAGGTCTCCCAGGAGACCCAGAGGTTACGACTAGTGGGTCCACTTCTGCCTCTGTTATCCTAACTTGTCACGTTTTGTCAAACACCGTTTCTGAGGTTTAGTTACCTGGAAGACAGCAAACTTGGATCCCATATTCTGTTCACTCAGGTGCAACTTGGCTTGCCGGAAAATGATGGCCAGCGACCAGAGAGCGAACAGCGTGGACGCGCCGAGGAAAGTGTTGATCCACAGAGCCGTGCTTTTCTCCGAGATCTGGTGGCAGATCAGAAGGCAGTCAGGAAGACAAACCCTCTTTTTGTTTCTCCTCTTCCATGTGGAGAAAGGCGATACAAAAGCCCCAGAGCCTAGACCATCTCCCCACTGGGTTCTCTGGGCTGCTGCTCTTCCTGTGGCTGCCCTGCCCTGTGTGTGTGCTGGTGCTCAGGTATTAGTTCTAGAACCCAAAGATAATGAGTCTTAAGACTCTTCTGCTGTCTCTTGGCTTACATCTGACGGATCAAAGATGCCATCAGGGATGAGAAACAGGCCCACTATGTTCAGCAGTATCTTGAAGAAGGCATACTGGAAAGGGCCCAACATCAGCAGCTGAAGCTTCTTCCTGAAGGAGGAAGGGAGTTAAGAACATGGACCTGTACACCACCCACCCTGAGGAAGCCTACCTCCTCCACTGAGCTCCTGGACTAAGGCTGGGCTGCCATCGAGACACAAAAATGTCCCATGGGTGATGGCACAGTGTGTGTGTGTGGGGTAGTCTGAGCCTCTGACGAAGCCTTTTGAGCAGGAGCTCCAAGTATTGACGTCAGGTTCATTACTCAGAGCAGGCAGAGGGACAAGCTAGCATTCAACCTACAGTTTTCCTTTGGCCACTAAAGTATGCAGTGTAAGCTAGACATGATAGAAAACAACTCGAACCCCAGCACTCGGGAGGCAGAAGCCGGTGGATCTCTGTGAGTTCAAGGCCAGCCTGGTCTACAGAGGTCCAGGACAGCCGGGGCTACACAGAGAAACCATGTCTCAAAAAAAAGTAAGTGAGTAAGGAAGGCAGTGAGCTGAAGCATACGAATTCTTCCTCTGGGGCTGGAGAGACGGCTCAGGGGTTAAAGGCACTGACTGCTCTTGTAGAGGACCCAGGTTCAACTACCAACACCCACATGGCAGCTCACAACTGCCATCCAGTTCCAGGGGACCCGAAACCCAAGACAAAACACTAATGCACATTTTTAAAATACAAATTAGTCCTCTGTTAAAATATGAATTATTCCTGTTTCTCTCTCTCTGGGGTGCTGGGAGCCCATGTGGGGTTCCTGGCTGTGGGATGCCTGCTTTTATCATTGGCTTTGTCCCATTCAACCACAGCCCCTAACTTCAAGAGCCTTGAACTAGGATTACAGAGTCCCGTGTTCACTTGTCCCTGTGAGATTCATCTCCCCTGCCTCACCTGGTAAGTATGAGGGGCGGGCAGCAGGGGCAGCAGCAGCAGCAGGGACCCGTGTGCACCCTCATCGGAATGTCCTTCAGTGTCCTCAGAACTGCTTCCTTCCCACCGAAGCCTTCCACCATGACCAGCATCAGCAGGTAAAAGACTATGGCATAGAACCTGATCGAGAGAAGAAGGATTGCAAGTACGTGGTTGGGAGTGCCACAGTGTGCCCCTTTGCTGCTAAAAAGATAGATGGGGCTCGCTGAGGGAGAAGGCAAAGGGCCGGGCATTTTAGTTGGCTTTTCAAGACAGGGTTTCTCTGTGTAGCTCAGGCTGTCCTAGAACTCAGAGATTCACCTGCCTCTGCTCCCACATGTTGGGATTAATGGTGTGTGCCACCACTGCCCAGCTGGGGCTGGCATTTTAGAGGCATGACATGAGGAACAAGAGAGGTGACTGGGTCCAGAGGACTGGGAAGGGGACTGGGAACAAACAGGTGTCCCAGGAGTGTGCCCCAAAAAGGCATTCCCTGAGCACAAGTGGAAGCTCAAGAGCCTTTCATCAGCACCGGTGGGCAAGAGCTAGATTAATATCAATGGGGCTTAAAGGACTCTGGAGGCTTGGGGGTCAGGAAGGGACCGTAGAGGGGAGCTCATCCCCAGTGGTGGGTGCGGGGGGCAGACACTCACGAGGTTGTGACCATTTCCACGAGTGTGAGGGCGCGAGGAATCCAGAGACCAAAGCAGCAGAGCACAGACACCACCTGCTTACAGGAGAACATGATGCAGGTTAGGGCGGGACGAGCCAGACCATCCCAACTTTTTGTAGCTAGGGTTCAAAAACGCCAGATCTGTGCGTCTGGGGTGCTAGTCCTTCCACTTGCTGGCTGCTGTGACTGAGTCAGGGAAGAGCCTGCATCGGGCCCTGGGCTCTCTACCCAGAACCAACCAAAATAGAAACAAGGACTGGCGAGAAAGCTCGGCATGTAAAGGTGTTTGTTTCCTATGAAAACCTGGCAACTTGAAGTCAATCGCCAGAACCCGCGGAACAGGAGACCTGACTGCACAAATTTGTCTTCTGACCTCCACACATGAGCTGTGGCATGCATGCTCCCCCCTCATTGCACACACACACACGATAATAATAATAATAATAATAATAATAATAATAATAATAATTCCATTTTTAAAATAAGCAGAATTGCAGCTGGAAAATAACTGAATAAATTAAATCCAGGTCCTGTGCAATGGCTGCATAGGTAAGTTTAAAAAAGACTTAGAGTCGCTGGAGCTCAGTGGTAGTATGTTCAGTACACACAGGGGAAAAAACAAGCCCACGGCAGCAGGGCAACACTTAGTCTGACCCTCTGGAAACAAATGCCTGAGTCTTGGAAGATGGCTTGCTCTTAACAGCGGTGCCATAGTGAGGGGAAAAAGAGTGGCACAGCTGGTGCCAAGTAGGTTGCTGTCCCTGCAGCCCTCTGCAATAGAAGACGTCATCCCACCGGCAAACAGGTGGAAATCAGTTCACATCCCCATTGCGACATGGTGCTAGCAGGCAGCTCGGTTCTGGAGCAAATGAGTTTAGGAGAACTCTCAGGCCAGCCTGCCCCATCTCCCAGGGCCAGTGCCAGCATCTTAAGGGCCGGCGCCAGCATCTGAAGTACCAGCGCCAGCATCTGAAGGGCCGGCGCCAGCATCTGAAGGATCAACACCAACATCTGAAGGGCCAGTGCCAGCATCTGAAGGGCCGGCGCCAGCATCTGAAGGGCCAGTGCCAGCATCTGAAGGACCAACACCAGCATATGAAGGGCCAGCGCCAGCATCTGAAGGGCCAGTGCCAGCATCTGAAGGACCAACACCAGCATCCTCACCGTTGGTGCAGAACTACTCCAGATCAGAGTCCTCCTCTTGATGGGGCAAAGGGTGTTCTTGTACAGATAAAGAGCATCCTCCAGGAAGATGGCAATTGAGCCCAGGGTAAGAAAGGTCAAGATGATGGTGAGGGCAATTTCCAGTGGGCCCAATTCTAGAGGAGAAGGGGAGTAGATGCCAATGAATTGAAGGTCAGATGCTGCTCCGGTAATGCCTGCTAAATAGAGCCCAAGCGTGTGTGTGTTTGTGTGTGTGTGTGTGCACGTGTGTGTGTGTGTTTTAAGACAGGGTCTAGACTTGAGCTCACAGAAATTCTCCTGCCCTTGACTCTCAAGTGCTTGGGATTAAAGGTGTGTCCATCATGTCTGACCCCACAAAGGGTCTTTAACTTTTCCTCACAATTAGAAACATCTTCCCAAGCCATCTCATCCGACCTCTCTCACTGAACCTGGAGCACACCAATCTGTCTGGACTTGCTAGGCAACAAACTCTAGGGATCCATCCATCTCTGCCTCCCTAGTACTGGGTGTGCATATGTACCTCCCCATGCTTTTTATGTGGGCACTGGGGGGTCTGAACTGAGGTCCTTAATGCTTGTGTGGCATTGAGCTATCCCCATTGAGCTATCCCCCTTAGCCCCCAACATTTTTAAAATTTCCATTTCAAAGGTGAGATGTCGTGCATAGTCTAACACTAGCAATCAGTGTGCAATGGTGGTGTGCTCACACAGGCACACCAAAGCTCAAACCCTGTCTCGTTTCTTCTTGGAAATCTCCCAGGAGCCCATTCTTGGCTCCCCCTGGCCTCTGAACTGGGATCTTCATACCCTGTATTCTCCAGACTCAAGGGAGTTTTTTTTTTAAATGAGATGGGACAATACATATTTCACAGCAGAAAGGCGAGGGGTCTGTAGAGGAAGACTGGGTGGCAGGAGAGACAGCTAGGGCTCCACAGCCTATCGTTTCTAGGGTAACGATAATTCACAAAAACTAGTTCCCATTTTATCAAAGACTAGAAACAGGAGCTTGAAGGTTCCAAATAGAAAGACAACGGGCTGGGGAAGTTAGCCACCCTGGTTTGATCAGAGTTCTTTGCATGCTCGTGTTGAAATACTGGCCTGTACCCCATCAATGTGCACAATTATTCCACACTAATTAAAAATGCTTTCATCCCAGCTCTCCTCTGTGTTCCAGACTGGAGAGTTTGTTCTTCCAGCCCTCAGGATGAGCTGTTTCTACCCCCGCCCCCAGGGCTTTCTCTTTGGCCTCTGCTTTTCTCCCTGACTTCTGCGTGTCTGGCTCCTGGGCCTGTACTAGACTTTAGCCACGTGTCCCGGCAGTCTGCGTGATGTGGCCTGCCCAGTTGAGTGAGATTCTTTATGTCTTTCCATACTTTCATATTACCTCCACCGCTGAGGCAGGGACTTTGTCAGGCTGTTCTCTGTTCTGTTGCCAAGTAACAGTAACTGTTCTTTAAGTATGCTCGCTATTCAATTTGACAAAGCTAGAGTCATCAGAGAGGAGGGAACCTCAGTTGAGAAAAAGCCTCCATAAGATGGTGGTCAACCTTTTAGGGCGTTTTCTTTTCTTTTTTTTGGATTTTTCGAGACAGGGTTTCTCCATAGCTTTTTTGGTTCCTGTCCTGGAACTAGCTCTTCTAGACCAGGCTGGCCTCGAACTCACAGAGATCTGCCTGCTTCTGCCTCCCGAGTGCTAGAATTAAAGGCGTGCGCCACCACCGCCCGGCTTTAGGGTGTTTTCTTAATGAGTGATTAATGGGAGGAGAACCCAGCCCACTGTAGTAGTGCCACCCCTAGACTGGGGGTCCTGGCTTCTATAAGAAAGCAGGGTGAGCAGGGCAGTGGTGGCACATGCCTTTAAATCCAGTACTCAAGAGGCAGAGGCAGGGGGATATCTGTGAGTTTGAGACCAGCCTAGTCTACATAGAGAGTTCTAGAACAGCCAGAACTACACAACAAGACCCTGTCTCAAGAAACTAATAATAAATAATTACAATAAACAAATGCATACAATAAATAGGTTATGCAAATGGAATCTTACAAACTCTAAATGTTTTTTTTTTTTTGCCCAACCTTATTTCTGTAACTTTTACTGCTTTCATCATGAGAAGCTGATGTTGCAATTAGCACCCTTGGGTGTGTCTCCTCGGTGCAGAGAAGCAAGTTTCTCTAGCATACGTCTGGAATTAGAACTGCTGGGCTGGAAGAGAAGGGAGCTCGGACTTCGTGGTACTATATGTTATTTGTAGGTATGATATATTATGTCAGGTATGACTGCTGCACATCAGCTGTTTGTTTGTTTGTTTGTCTGTTTGTTTGTTTTTGTTAACATGGTCCTGGGTATCAGACTCAGGTCTGCAGACTTGCACACAAGCATTTTTACCCCCTGAGCCATATCACTGACCCTTTCTTGAATTTTAAGAAATTATTTGCTGTTTCTAACCATAAAGACAATTTCTACTTTTTTAATTAAAAAGTTTTAATTTTACATTTATGTCCTTAATCTTCCTGAATTAAATTTCCTGTGCATTTATTTCCTTGGGAATAGACAGCTGTTCTGCACATCTACCTAGGAGCCTATCCCACAGCGTCCTTTTGTGTGTACCCCATGTCCCACCGCATCCTTTTGTGTGCACCCCTATGTCCCACAGTATCCTTTTGTGTGCACCCCGTGTCCCACCGCATCCTTTTGGGTGCACCCCTACGTCCCACCGCATCCTTTTGTGTGCACCCCTATATCCCACCGCATCCTTTTGTGTGCACCCGTGTCCCACAGTATCCTTTTGTGTGCACCCCTATGTCCCACCGCATCCTTTTGTGTGCACCCCTATGTCCCACAGCGTCCTTTTGTGTGCACCCCTATGTCCCACAGCGTCCTTTTGTGTGTACCCCTATGTCCCACAGCGTCCTTTTGTGTGCACCCTATGTCCCACCGCATCCTTTTGTGTGTACCCCTATGTCCCACAGCATCCTTTTGTGTGTACCCCTATGTCCCACAGCGTTCTTTTGTGTGCACCCTATGTCCCACCGCATCCTTTTGTGTGCACCCTGTGTCCCACAGCATCCTTTTGTGTGCACCCCCATGTCCCACCGCATCCTTTTGTGTGCACCCCCATGGTGGCCTGGCACTTCCTCTGGACACGACACTTTGTTGTTTTTCTCCTCCAGGCCCTTTGCCATTGCGACCTCATTGCTTCAGCTGCCACAAGCTTAACACAAGCCTTCATCGCTGGCAGGGAAGCCCCCCATTTTTACACTTTTCCCAAACCATCCTGACTCTCTAGATAAACGTTAGGTCAGTTTAATTTAAAACAAAATTAAAGATTTTAACTGGAATCATATCACAAACTAAAAACTACCCTGGTCATGAAAAGCTTTAGTAGTTCCAGAATAGCCCTTTCTAATCACATAAGAAGCAGAGGAGCTGGAAGCAGTTTCACCGCATCCTCCTTCCCTTCGAGTCTCCTGTGGGTCATTGCCACGCTCAGAATCACTCTCCTGTCTAAATATTTACCAGGGCTCCTGCTTTGTATCAGCTGCATGTTCTGTTTCTTTCCTTCCTGCTGCCCCGGTTCAACCTCTGTGGCCAGCTTGATGGGGTCAACAGCCTCTAGGTTTTCACCCTGCTCAAGGCTCTTTCCCCCCACGTCATTCTGACTACTGATTAAAGGTCCTGAAACTCTCCTTCCAGCCCCTCCCAATCTTACAGCCCTCAGTGGTGGCTCCATCTTGAGGATAAAGTACAAACTCAGGCTTGACCTTATTCCAGCCCCACTTCACCTGCCCAGCCCTTTCACTTGCCCCAAGCTCTTCCAGGATTACCCGCCAACCTTGCCAGAGGAACCTTCCCGGTGTGGGGAACCCACCGCTCCCTCTGTAACTGTACCGCTCTGCACTCCCCAAATCCCTCCTGCCTCGGCCTTTCCTATGGAGGGCTGTGCTGTGGAGAGCTATACTGTTGGGGGGGGTCATACCACAGGGAGCCGTACTATGGAGGCTCCTACCGTGGAGGACTGTACTGTACCCTGCAGGTGGTCTAGTGGCCTCCTTAATATCTACCCGTTAGCTGCTGAGGGCAGGCAACCTCCAGTGTGGTCACGCAAACCGTCTGCAGACACGCCAAATACCTTTCTGGATATTACCTTCGGGTGTAAGATGATGTTTGTCCCTCCAGCTCCACTCCCTGATTATGAGGCGCTTAGAGCTGGGTGCAGCCAGCCACCTGCTGGCGCTAGCCACAGAGTGCCACCAGGCATCTCTGGATCCCTGCAGCTGATAACACCCTGGCCCAGAGCATCTGAAACAGAGTTATCCTTAGCCCAAGGACCTGGCCACATCCGCTTCCCTCTGCACCTGGCAGTGTCCCCATGCTTTGGAGGCATCTATGTCAGAAGGAACCACCAAGAGCCCCACATTTCAGAAATGGATTCTCATGGAGTAAGCGACGAGATAAAACTAGCCTGGCCATTTCCCTCCTAGAAGCACACACACCACTTTGTTCTTGGTGGTTTGGAGGTAGAAAGCGTGATCTCAGCTGCCTCCGGTGTCTTCCACTTTCAAAAGCAGCTGGACACCAGGAGGACAAGTTTGCAGGCTCATGCCAGCCGAGCCCACCCCTCTGCAGAGCTGTGAGCTCTCAGGGAGTATGCGCACACTTTTGGGGGAGATGTGGGGCTTGGGTTATATAGGTGCCATCTTGAAAGCCAGAAACACAAATAAATGTCCCAGATCCTAGTGTCCCTGGTTTGAACGCATCTGAGGTGGAGGCCCATCCTCAGATTGGTCTCCTGAACTAGATTTTCATGTCTCATTGTGGTCCTCTGGGTCCTTGGGAGAACTGACCTTCTCCAAGGCCTTAGCCATTATGAACATCGGGCCAGCCACCCTCTCACACTGGCCAGATGTGAACCAGCTCCCCTCAGCTCCCCCAGTTGTCCTGACTTTCAACTCCTCCAGGGGGCACCCCGACTCACCTCTCAGGAGCTGAGCTGCAGTGGGAGGGTAGGAGAAGCAGGCAGAGGAGATGCTGTAGTTGGTTTTCAGCAGCTCCAGAAGATCTACTGTGTACCTGGAGAGACACCAGTTCTCAGAACCAGGCATCTGGGGAAGGGGTGTGGCAGACTACACAGTTTGATACCCCTCAAACACTCCTGAGTGCTAGGAGGTAGTCCATTTTTCCTCAAGGCCCTGGAGAACTGGCTTAGGTCAGAGTATAAAACAAGCCATGGGCAGCTTCATCGGGGCAGTAGTTCAGCTGGCCAGGGAGGATCAGCTGGGTCCAAGAGAAAGACAGACATGGCAATGCAGGTTTGTAATCCCAGCACTGGGGAGGGAAGCTGAGGCAGGGGGAATCTTAGTTTAAGGCCAGCTTCCATTACATGATAGGACTCTATCAGAAAGAAAGAAAGAAAGAAAGAAAGAAAGAAAGAAGGAAAGAAAGAAGGGGAGTGATCCCATAGCATCAGGGGTGGGCCGGCCTGCTTTTTGGTCAGAGGTTCTGTGTATGTGTGTCTGGGGGTGCCTTCTGCAGCCTCCTCCTCTGTAATCTTTCTCTGCTCCTATAGGGAGGCAATTCACAGCCCTGAAGTGGCCACACGCTGATCCAATCCCAGTTTTCCCAAGGCCTGAGGGGATTCCCAGTTTTCAATCTTACCTTGTTCTGAGTGCTGGAAGCCAAAGGGCCCTGCGAGGGAGCCAGGGAGGGATAGGCCAGGGTGATAGGGGCTGCCACTGTTCCTTAGCAACTGGCTCCCAGCCCAAGACCTGCCGCCCTCACTTACCTGGGGTCAAGTCTTATCTGAGTCCTGCCCAGCTCCATTCTCCTGTTCTCTCAGGCAGACACCACAGGCAGGTGAGGAGGGGTGGGAAGGACCAGCAGACTGGGACACCGAAGAGCCCGGAGGTTTCTGTCCGGCACTGTGGCACTTACAGCCTTGTTCTGCTGGATGAGTGCAAAGGAGAAAGTGGAAGTCTGCCTTGCGGGTCAGCAAGCTTCCAGTGTGTCAGCCTTTTATCTCGAGTTCACCCCAGAGGAATTTGATCCTCTGTTCCCCGACTCCTTACTCCTCCCTATAGGTTAGACTTGGCCCCTCCCACTTCTCTCAGATCTGCCCACTCCTTGTACCCAACTCACTTCATACTCCTTAAGGAGTCTTCTAAGGCTCGCTGGATCCAAGACAATACTCCCCCACCCCCCAGAAGAGGGGGGACAAAGCTCTCACTTGGTCAGTAACTCCAGGTGAACCAGGCGGAAGCATAGGCTCTGGCTCCTTGGAGATGTCAGACTCAGGACTGAGGTCTCGCTGTGTCTGAGTTTGTGGTTTGGCATGTGGGTGGTGATGGCTGCTTGAAAAGGCCAGAGGAGGGCTGGAGAGATGGCTCAGCCATTAAGAGCATTGCCTGCTCTTCCAAAGGTCCTGAGTTCAATTCCTGGCAACCACATGGTGGCTCACAACCACCTGTAATGAGGTCTGGTGCTCTCCTCTGGCCTGCAGACATACACAGACAGAATATTGTGTACATAATAAATAAATAAATAAATATTTTTTTTTAAAAAAAAGAAAAGGCCTGCAAGCTGCTGCTGCTGCTGCTGCTGCATCTTACACGGGGTTTTGTTATACAGAGCTGTCCGACCTGGAGTTCGTTTGTAGACCTGGTAGACCGTAGACCGTGAGCTCACAGAAACCTGCCTGCCTCCTGAGTACCGGGATTAAAGGCATGTACCACCACCACCAGGCTCAGTGTTTGCTTCTTAAAGGTCAGTCCTGGTTGGGGTGAGGACGTCTTGGCCACACCTGGACCTGAAGAACAGGACAAACTGAGACTGCATCGCATCTGGGTGTCAGAGCGCACAGTCAGAGCCGAGCACATTGACAGGGCTTCTTTTAAAATGCCAAATTAAGTTTGAGGAGATGGCTTGGTCTGTAAGCACTTACCCTCCGAAGAAAGGATCTGGATTTGATCCCGGCACCCATGTAAAATGATGGACGTATTAGCATACGCTTGTAATCCTGCATCTGGGGAGGGGGTGATGGGAGGACTCCTGGGGCTTGCTGGCCAACCAGTCTAGCTGAACTGGTAAGCTCCAGGTTCAGTGAGCTACCTCATTTTAAAAAATAAGGCGGGGCTAGGCCACGGTGGTACACACCTGGAATCCCAGCGTTTGAGAGGAAGAGGCAGGTGAATCTCTGAGTTCGAGACCATCCTGGTCTACAGCTTGAATTCCAGGACAGCCAAAACTGTCACAGGAAAACCCTGTCTCGAAAACAAACAAACCAAAAAGATGGAGCGTGATTGAGGAAGATGCTCCACACTGACCTTGCCTCTAGAGGCTTGCACACCCACACTCACGAACGCACCCACATACCCTTCCTCTAAGTTACGTGCTTAAGAACTTCTTTATTGGGCCGAAGAGACAGTAGAGCAGTGAAGAGATGGGCTGCTCCTCCAGAGGTCCTGAGTTTAATTCCCAGCAACTGCATGGCGGCTCATGACCTACTGTAATGGGATCTGACGCCCTCTTCCATCATGTGGAAGGAACTACATGCAGATAGAGCATTCATACACTAAAAAAAAATACATAAGTAAACAATTTTCTTTTCAAAAGAACAGTTTTATTGGTTTCTCCTTCCAAATAGACTTAAACTCCTTTGAGGCTGAGCACGGGGTGCCGTGAACCGAGATCCCTGGCATGAAGCCTGGCATACACTGTGTGCTCCTTGGAACTGGCTGGTACCATTGACAGAATAAAGAAACCATGGTAATGGCAGCAGGTGCTTCACGGATGCCAAGCGCTATGGGAAATGGAGAACGTTCCTCATCTAAAACCTTATCACCCTCTTACAAAGTAAGGGCGGTCTCTATTCCCAGTTCACAGATATCAAAGCGCAAGGCAAGGGAGGTTAAGAAACCAGGTTAGAGTGTCACGGCATGAACAGAGGCACCTGGGATAGAGGGGGCCTCACCGTGGAGGCTCAGAGCGAGATTTTCCGTTGTGTGACCAGGAAGTGGGGTCCTTAGGAGGTGTGACAGGAGCCTTCCCTCCCCCCCACACACATACTTCACCATGTCTCTTGAGTCCTGCCCTACCCTCCGCAGAAAGAGCAATAGACAGGAAAGGGCAATAGACTGCCAGGAGTAGGCGTGACACGGGCCAGTTACCTCCTGAGGTGGAGGGAAGGGCAGGAAAAGGGGGTAGGGGTGCCCATCCTGGAAGTCAACGGCCCCGGCCACACCTAGCAGGCACGAGCTGACTCAAGCAGCTTCCACTAGAACACACCTCAGGCCATTCGTCTGTGACCGCAAGGAAGCTTTGAACTTAAACTGCACCCGCTCTGAACTTTAGACTTCCCTGGAGTCGATGTCCTCAAGACTGGTGTTGGGGTGTAGGAAGGAGGTGGGGGGACCTGAGGCTGGGCTAGAGACCAATAGGCCCCAGGGGAGATGGCCATTTCTCACAGGGCACAGGTGGAGGGAGGCAGCCCAATGGGTGTTCCTGTCCTAGCCAAAGTCTCTAAGTGGCTGTTTCTGTACATGTGCCCATGAGATCAGACCAGCATGTCAGCTCTGCTCTTCAAGGCTAGTCCCCTCAGTTAGATCTGGGCCAGTCAAATTCTTCTCCTGGGGACCCGGACTGACAGCGAGCTAGCTGTCAGTCACACTTTCAGAACTAATAAGAACCAGCCAGCCTTCGTGTCCCGCCCCCCATAGTTTAAATTAGAATATGTTAATTGCAGGAAATAATGACTTTGATGTGTTATTTTATTTTTAGCTTGGAGGCCAGTCGAGGCTACAGAATAAAATTCTATCTCTGTATTAATAAATAAAATGTTAACAAAGAAAACTTGCATGTAGAACTCTGTCACGTGGTACTTCCTCTCCCGCGGTCTGTTTAGCACTTCCCTGGCAGGATGCTATCAAATTGGTCAAGGTCTACGCGACCTCTGGCGTGCAGAGCTTTCTTCCCCGGCAAGGCTGAAGGAGGTCTCCTTGTCTGTTGCTTGCCCGCTTGTCCATTGATGGATACTGATTTCTCACTGCTGTGAGCAATATTGTTCCGAGAACAGTCACACAAACATCTTCGAGACTCTGCTGAGAGTTGCTTAGCTACATACCCTGCAGCGGGCAAGCGGTGGTTCTATTTCTTAGGCTTTTTTGGACCCCCATGCACTTTCCTGCTGCAGCCGGATCATAATGTACTGTTGTGTCTAGGATCTCTGGAGAGGACGCGAGGTCCTCACGCTCACACAGATGAGCACTAGAGAAGGCAGGAACGTGAAGCATGCAGTCTTGCCTCTTTGATGAAAGGGACATGTGTACCTGTTTTTCACCCAGAAGGCTGGGAAAGGATGTTGTTAATAACCTGTGATCTTTTGTTGTATATAGAGCCAGACCTCACCGGAACCCCCAGATTCCATTGCCGACACTAGAACCCATTCTTATGGAAGATCCCCCCTTGTACCTTACAAAGGAGCCTGTTATTATGCTTATTCTAGATCCCTCCTCCCTAGACCTGTTGCAGGATATTTGATCACATCTTGAACCCCGAACCCCTTAATCCAAAAGCTTTCTGCTTCAGTACTGTAAACACAATTAAATAAAGTCAACCATAGGTCAAGAGGCACAGCAAGAACCAGTTGACAGGCAGTGAACATAGGATTCTTAAGAAAAAAAAACATAGAAGTAAGAGGGAGTGAGGAGGATGGCTAGAGATGCACAGGAAGTAGAAGGGAGGGACATTCAGTTTGAGGAGCGTTTTTTTTTTTTTTTTTTTTTTTTTGGTTTTTCGAAACAAGGTTTCTCTGTAGCTTTGGTGCCTGTCCCGGAACTAGCTCTTGTAGACCAGGCTGGCCTCGAACTCACAGAGATCCGCCTGCCTCTGCCTTCCGAGTGCTGGGATTAAAGGCGTGCGCCACCACCGCCCGGCTTGAGGAGCGTTTTTAAGATGACTGAGGAGAAAGGAGAGGTTACTGGGTCATTGGCTGAGGAGGAAGATCAGCTGGGCGCTTTCTCGGCCTCCCTGAGCTAGCAGGCTTTCACCCCAGCACTTGGCTCCCGAGTCTTTATTGGTGAAATCAAATGACTGAAAATTCGTTAAAAACAACATAGACCTTTGTCCTGAGCATTGTCGGTCAATAGAACCCATACTTTGTTTTGTTTTGTTTGAGTTGAGACAGGGTTTCACTGTGTAGCCCTGGCTGTCCTGGAACTCACTCTGCAGACAAGACTGGCCTCAAACTCAGATCCACTGCCTGCCTCCGCCTCCTGTGTGGCGGCCACCATGTCCAGCTGTGATTACTTCTTTTACACATGAATGTTCAGTTGTTCTAGTTCTGTTTATTGAAAAGACTACTCTTGGGCTAGAGACATGACTCGGTGGTTAGGAGCACTTGTTCTTACAAAGGACCTGAGTTCAATTCCTAGCCTCCCAATGGCAGGTCAAAATCATCTACAACTTTAGTTCCAGGATAAATATGATACAGACATACATGCAAAGCAAAATGCTCATACATATAAATCTTTTTAAAAAGTTCATGGTGAGGTTTTTATTTTTTTGGTTTCTTTGGGGTGGAAGTTGCAAGGGCAGGGTTTGGATGTGGAGCGATGGGAAGATGAATGGGATTGGGATATGTGATGTGACATTCACCAAGAATCAGTGAAAGTTTAAAAAGAAAAAGAAAATTACTCTTCCCATGGAATAACTGGCAGTCTTCTTGAAAACAAATTGACCAGGGATATATGGATTTACTATTTCCCTCTATATTTCTGTTTTGTTTTGAGACAGGATCTCATACAGCCAAGATTGGCCTTGAATTTACCATGTAGCCAACATTAATTTTGAACCCTTGACCCTCCTGCTTCGGGCCCTGGAGGGCTAGGATTCCAAGTGTGAACTACCAGGCTCACTGTACTCCAAACTTGATTCCCCTGACCTGTATTGTTAGGATTAACTGACAGGAGTTCCTTGGTGGGTGGAGCCAAGGTATACCTCAGAG